GCTCTGCTAGTCGGGACTGTGGCAGGTTCCTCGACCTCTATATAAGGCCCGGCCTCCCAGGCAGAGTGCCATGCGGAGTGGGTTGCCATGACAACGACCAGATTTTCCACGGCATTTCGGCACCTCACTGTTCAGCTAGGGGCTGAGGGGAATTTTTGGAAGGGCCTAAACTGGTGAGGCACCAAACCAATGGGAGTTAGGGGCTTAACCTGCTTCTTGTGGAAATCCCGCCAAGTGCAGGCCTCCATTTTTAGGTGCCTAAAGACCTTTAGAGATCTGGCCTCCATGCTTGGGGCTGCTTTGAATATGGAGGCAGCAAGGCCCTTCCTCTGAGGAGCTGGTGGGAGAGGAAAGCCTCCTAGACTGACATGCTTCCCTGGCTTTCGGGTCCCTCGCCTGGTTTTGTGGGGCATTGACCTGGGGACCCCAGGACTTGAGGACGCTGGAGGTGGAGGGGAGACAGATTCTTGCCTTCCCCTTGGAGAAGATACCACAAGGTCTTGCAGCTGGAACGTTCCCCTGCATGCGCCAATGGAAACAAACCAGAGTCCGTGCCCTCCGGAGGGCTGGTGGCAGTGGGCGGCGTTGGTATTGCAGTGACCTGTTGGTAGGGAAGAAGCGAGGAGAGCTCAGACAGGAGTTGTCTGGACTCCTTTGAAACCCATGAGTCATCACCAAGGCAGGTCAGTAGCCTCCCTGGAATTCAAGCCAGGCATGAAAATCCACCCAAGCCAAGAACTTTCCTTCTGTTTCCATGGGTTAATGGTTACCCAGGGAACTCGGCAGAGCAGGAGGCTTAGCTGTGGGAAATAAAGGTTAGGACTCTCCAGAGCAGGTGCCCAAATCCCTTTCAAACATGAGATTGGTGCCTAATTCTCTTAGGCACCCTAGTAAATCCCTGCCAAGAAGATGCCCTGTAACCCTGATGTAGCAGTTTTCTCTTTAATATATAAGCATGATCTATCCAAGCTACAGTAGTGACAAGCATTATGGGGTCTAGCTAGGTGGTGGTGAAAGCTCTTGAGTGGCAGGCATTAGTGTGAGCTGGGATTTTCCAAGTTGTAGCCCAGCTCCACCACTGACTCCCGCTATGACATGGGGTAAGTCACTTAACTTCTCTGACTTAGTTTCCCTCTCGCTGTAAAACAGGGGTAACACTGGCCTGCCTTAGGAGATTGCTTAGTTGATGTCTGTAAAGCAGCTGGAAGCCATAAAGCAGGAAGAGATTCTGTAAAACTCAACCGCAAATTACCTTGGGTGCATGTGATCTCTAAATGGACGGTGAACATTTTCCAGACGTTTGTAACAAACATGTCGAATGGCTCAGTGGCATCCCATCGAAACACAGGAGCGTGATCACGATGGGAACCTAGCCTGGCTATGCGTATCCACTGAAGGCTCAAAGTCCAGCCCTGAGGCCGCCTGGCAGGCTGCGCACTTAATAATCATTATGAAATGTGGTTACGAGCAGGATTCCAGCAGTGGAAAATGTGACCTGGGGTTTTGCTTTTGAAGTGCAGCGTGGTAACGTGCTGAACGAAGGCAGCCAAGGGGAGTGATGTGTAGCACAGTTTGGCTAGTGCAGGCCTTGGAGGAAAACCCTGGCCAGGCAAGGCCACGTTAGCCTGTGGCAAGCCAGTTTGCTGCCCACCGGGTTGTGGCAGTGGAATAGGAGGGACTGGCAAGAGTGGAAAAGCAAAGGTGGGTTAGTCATGGCCGGACTTTGAAAAGTGCTCGGGGGAGAGACCAGTTGGCCGAAAGCCCCGGGCGCAGCGCTGGAGACAGACTTCCCGAAGCAAAGCAGCCTGCTGGCAGCAAAGCAGAACGTCTCCTGCTCATCTGAACGTCGTTCCCTACGGCGCTCGTCCTCCACGCAGCGCTTCAGTAGCATTCCTGGGTGTTGCCTGCCGCTGCGAACCTGGGCCCTTGCCCAAAGCGCCTCGTATGCCAGAGTTTCTTTGGAAAGCTTCGCAAGTGCCTCCGGCCCTGCACGGCGTTCCGTCCGCTTTCTGGAGCGGCGGGGACGGACTCTCTTGGAAAGGATGTTTTGCCTTCCCTGCATGGCGCCTGCTGTGGGGAGACAGGTTAGAGCCTGGTGCTGAGTATCCTTAACCCTTTCCACCATCTCCTATTGACACTGCAGTTTTGTCATCCAAGAAAAGCAGTGAGGCCTGCGCCAGCCACCTTCTGCTAGACATCCTTGCCCTGGGCAGTCTGCTTACAGCACGTTGCAAAACCCTGGGTCACTTTTCCCATTGTTAGAAAACCAAGGCTACGTCTATACTGCACCCTTCTTCCGCAAAAGCTTATGCAAATGCAGCGCAGAGTAGAATATCACCGCGCTTCATTTGCATAATTAATATGGGGCCGTTTTTGCACAAGAGGCTCTTGCACAAAAAGGAGCTGTACAGATGTCTCCTTTTTGCGCAAAAGCCCCCTCTTGCGCAAGAACCGTTCTTCCTGAAAAAATGAGGAAGAACAGCTCTTGCGCAAGAGCTGTCTACACAGCTCCTTTTTGCGCAAAAGCCTCTTGCGCAAAAATGGCCCCTAATTAATTATGCAAATGAAACGTGGTGATATGCTAATCCGCACTTTATTTGCATAGGCTTTTGCGCAAGAGGGATACACTGTAATCATAGTCTAAGCATGGCAAGTTCAGACATCAGAACAGAAAACCCACCACATCTGCAGCGTTGCTGTGGGATGAGCTGGGGTTTCCGGGTGGGGGATCGGGGAGCACGTGCCACGTCTACCGCAGCAGTGGCCGGAATGTGCAAAGAGCTGGACAAAGTCCCGCTGGCAAATGGGCCACTTCAGCTCCCCTGAAGCTGGGCGGTGTTGTCCCCAGCTCCAAGCGGAAAGCATCCCTAAGTCAGGCCTCTCCACAAGCTGGCGTGACACCAGCTTGCCAACAAGAATACATGCTCTGTTCTTTTGCCTTTGCCCTCCGGCATGTACGCCTCTGCCCCGCACTCAGGCCTAGCTTTGCCTGCATCTGTGAGCTCCAGTCAGGGCTTTTTGATGATTCCAGGATTCTCCCTGACACCTATGACTCTGGGAGCTGGGTCTTGAAGAAAAAGACCAATTATCATCATAACCTTGCGACAGGTGGGCCCAGTGCAGCCCCCTTTGCATTCTCTTCCCCAGAGCAGCGGGTGCCGGGCTGTGCGGGCACAAAGCCATGTGCCAAAGGAGAGAAGGGAGGGCAGCTGGCATGCAGTGCCCGGAGGCTGTGCCAAGCCAGTGGGCAGCATGGGAAAAGGCCTGGCACTGGCATTATCATCATGTGTATCCTGTCCTCATCTCTTGCAACGAGATAGTGAGTTAAAAGGCCTTTTATAGATAGACAAACGAGCTTTGTAATGAGCTTGGCCCGGCTCCTCCCTCCACCCGGGTCCAGGAAGGGGCTCGGTATCATCCCAGCTCATTGCTATAGCCCCCAGGGTGGATCTCAGTGGCCTTAGGTGTGAACAAGAGCATGGGAACAACCCACCACCAGAGGAAATTAAAGGGGCCACACCTCTGCAACGAGACGCATGAGCGTCAGAAGCATCATCTTGGTTTTTAAAGATTTGCTGCGAGATCTAAGCAGGCAACGAATACACCCGGTAAGCTGTTTGGTCTGGGATTCATGCCAGAATTTTAGATCCAAGCCAACATGAAAGCCATTGTTGCGAGGGAGCGAGAGAAAGGGAGTAGATTTATCTTTGGGGCACATGCAGGCTCCCGCTTCCTGGCTTCTAATCCTGCCTCTGCCATGGTCTCTCTCGGTGGCCAAGTGACAGCAGCTTTCTGCCTCAGTTTCCCCACTGATACAATGGTTATGATGATAGCAACTGACCTGTGGTGAGGGGTGCCAGGAAGGTCAGTGAATGCAAGTGGTACCACGGAGTGTGGGTCTGGTTCTGGTCCAGCTTGCTCTGGTGCCAATCAGGAGTAGCCCTGTTGAAGTCAGCGGAGTTGTCCCCGTGCAAAAAGAAAACTGTAAGCAAGAGGAGACTCAGGCTGTGCAAGGAGACTGACCAGTGCAACTTTTGTTTCCCCTGGAGTTACTTCCTCCCCACCATCTTCTTCAGGATTGGTGAGGTTTGGGGCAGCCCCTCTCAACTGCCCCTCACTGCTGTAAATTCGCACCGATGTTCCTTTTCTTGCTTGAACTGACCAAGCTAAATCTGTCAGCCCCTTGTCCATGCTCTGCTCCGGCTGACAGAGCAAGTGTGCAGAATGCTTTCCATGC